TTCACTAAATATTAAATAAACAATCAATATATAGTTTGGAAGTAATGATATACAAGAAAATTATTATAATAAAAGATTGCAATATTAGTTTTAAAGCATTAAAATATATAAAAATTTCAAAAAATTATATATATATATACACATACCTTGCGAAAAAAAGTACACTCTAGTGCCATCTCCGCGAGCATAGAAATTGTCGCCGAGACAATTACCTTTCTTAAACCTCAATTGCGCTAAATCGTGTCTACCATAATCACGAAATAAAATTAGTCCACCTGGTTTCAGATACCTATATATTTGCTTTACAACATGTTGCATCCTGTAAAATAATATATTAAGAGATATATTAATATTTTCTTTCTTTCTTCTTGAATAAATGTTTAGTTTAAAAGTTTTACATATTACTAATATTATATTAATATTTTATTATGTTATAGACTTATATTTATGTTACAATAAAATTACATGTATGTATTTTATTATATAACAGGGTTTAATAAAAGATATTAATATATAACTTACTTATCCGGATGAATGGCAGATAATATGAATATTAGGATAACGATGTCTAGACTTTTAGGTTCAAAAGGTGTTGTCCATGTTTTCTGAGTTACATCTAGAACAAATGCTTTACACCTAAAATGAAAAATTATACTTATAAATTACATAGCTTTCAACAATTTACATAACTATTGTATTTCATTAGATAATTTTGTATGAATTTAAACGAATTTTAAACAAATTTTGCTACATTACCTATTTATATTATAAGCACGATTTCGTTGCAATATATCTATAGCTGTCGCAGAAAAATCACAACAATAGACAAATAATTTCGGATCTGTATTATACATAAGTATAGGAAATACAGTATTTCCTACACCGCAACCTATTTCCAATATTCTGCAATCGTCCTTGCACGGTAAATCGAGAATTTTGATGTGTTTATCTCCATAGTTCTTATCCTCATCTGTAAGTGCAGCTCTCATGGGCCTTTCCATGTTCTGTTTTACGGTATTGGGTGCTAATTCTGGAAATTCAATCAGTAACCAATGTCTGTCTTTAAAAAACCTAAAATAATAAATGTATCAACTCGAAATTCATTATGCCAAGATAAAATTCAATTAAATAATTATATTATCCAATTGCATTCTAATTAATTAAACAGAGAAAATATTTTTCTTATATTATATTATATTATTATATCTTACATACCCACTGTTATGTATTCCATAAAACTTGTCCCAATATTTATTTGCTTCAGTCTCATATTTTAAAAGTTCATCAGGTGACATCATTACGATGGAATTTTCGTCCACTTTTTGTTGTGCCAATTTTTCTTGTTCCTTGTCCCATATAACATTATCCCTTTTAGAATAGCAAATGTTAATCAATTAAGTCAAATATTTAATAGTAGATATATTTAGTGAACAGAATCAATCAATTATTATTTTTATTTCCAAACATAAAATATACTAACAATTGTATAAATAGATGATATAAAATTGTGCAATAAAAAATATAATTGAATTTTAATTAATTTTAACTAAATAAACTTTAATTAGCAAGTAAAATACACAATAAAAAATGGAAACAAAAACAAGAAACATAATTCATAAAAGCGCATATTTATGAAATATAAAACATAATGTTGCAAAATCAACATCGACTCCAAAACATCCCAATTTCCAGGTTAGGATATGCTTATCATCCAACAAGTTTAGATAGCTCGATAATAACCTTCAATGTTTTTAATAAAAAATATATATAATGTATATGAAAAATATACTATCAATAAAAATAATTACAATAAACAGATTAATGCATGCGTGTCTTTCTATTTTCTTTGACTCCAGTCTTTCTTTTTTAGGTTAGGTCAAACACATGCTCACGCGTCAAATCAAGCGATGTCATGTGCGACAATACGCGGACGTGAAACCGTAACGTACCATGCATTGTGCTGGAAGACGTTTTCGTCGCGGGACAAATTCCGCGTTCCGAATTGCGGTCTCTCCGTTTCCCCATCGCAGCCACCTGCGATCGTCGTCCCCTCGGCCATGTTCGAGAACGCGCCGGCGAAATGGCGCGCTGTCATTCTCAGCGTTTCCGTTCCGCGGTTGAAATTGTCGCGATTCCAATCGAGGTCGTTGGACACACCGCGTCGGAGAGAGACGATTGTCGAAAAATTGCGATTCAGAGAATTCGAGATCTCAAATCGTGAAAATCGAGAATATTATTAAATCGATAAAATAGAAGATTTTGTAATTGGCAAAAATTGTCTTCTATTTTATTTTCATTTTTAATATTCTCGATTTGATTTTCACGATTTGAGATCTCGAATTGTCTCTACCTGACATTCAAAGAATTTCCCGAAAGTTCCAAAAAATGTATTTCCCAGAATTATGAAGTTACTTCACAAGAATTTGCATTCCTAAAAATAGACAAAATAGTGAAATATAATTAGAAATGAGATAAAGCAAATCAAGTAAATTTTAATTCCAAAAATTTAATAGATCTTCTAATTTCCTATTTAGTGTTATGTGAGAGCACAATGATTGCATAATGATTACAATTTATAATGTATTAGGAATAGATCTATTTCTATCATAGGAAGGATGCAGAGAATGCAGTTAAATGAAATGAAGTTATTTAATCTTGTTTCATTTTCTATCATCTCCAAATATCGAATTAATCAATTAATGATAATGGTATCATGTTCTCCAAAAGCTTCCTGTATTCGGCTTCCTGTATTACGTTAAACAGACGCATCGCGAAGCATACGAAAGACGTGACTTACGCTTTCTCCCGAACAATTAACGAGGATCCTTTTCCGGCGCGTGCAGAATATCCACATGCGTATTTTCGCGGCGGCGTGCGTTCGATCGGTCGTGCGCGCGCGCGCGCGCGCGTGCACACGCGGCCGCAGGATCAACGACCTAAGGAAAGTGATATAGGTTAGGTTGAGGATATGCGCGCGAGGTATGCGGAAGCGGGATGGGTGTGACGCGACGCGCCGCGCCGCGCCGCGACGCGAGGGGGGTTGCGAATCGCGGGGGTGACGCGAGTTGCGTCACCGGATGCTCGATGTCGCGCAGGGACGAATCTCACACCCCTTATTCTTTGAACCCGATTTTTCCATCTTTTATTTTTAATTCTTTTGGGAGGATACTCGGACGCGTGCTTTTAAATAGCGGAAGAAATATCGGGATTCCGAGAATAAAGCACCGCCGCGTATGGACGTCTCAATAGGACGAAGGATATATGAGACCAGGTGCTGTCTTTCTTACTTGAAGATTGAGAGAAAGCGCGAGATGCGGCATCAAAATGACGAACTTGCGTGGCCGTGCATTTATTTCAAGAGATTATTGGATAGTCCAATATTTTCATCTGATCATCGGCAGTTTTCTAAATACAGTAACCCGCTTGAGCCGACTATTTTTGGAAAAATCGATTCCGAGAGTACCAATCGGATTAGCGGAGAAGCTGCCCTACGAAGTATATGTTATTACAAAGACGAATTATATTTGAATTATAAAACGAGTTCATTTTTCTTAATAAATGAAGGAGAAAATCAAATATAAAACTCGAACTTTTACGTATATACATTTCAAAGTGCATTTATTTTCTAAAAATATTAAAATCATTAAAACTGATTGATAAAGCGAATCTCAAATTTCCAAAGTTTAAAATTTCAGAAAAATAATTTTTTCTCGACTCTTCTCAACTTTCTCACTCAGTTTCTTTTCAGCCTTATTTCTCTCAATTCATTCGAAATCGCAAAATATCCATTTCTCTTCGCAATTGTTCAATTTAAAGTGGACAAATAAACAAGCTCGTATACCCAATGGCTAGAGATAAAAATTAAATGTATTAAAAAAGGCAGAATAACAAAATGCATCGCATCATTGTTTTCCTCTCTTTCCTCTCTTTCTCATTCGGTTCCTCCGGCTTTCGCGCGAGGAACCGAATCGCCGCGATCGCCAGTTCGTTCGCGAGGACGCTTCTCCGTTATCGACGTAGCGTCGCCCTTCAACAAGACGAGAGACGAGGCGCGTCGAGCGACGAGAGATGCGAGGAAGCGAGAAGAGTAATGCGCGCTCGCGATTCCTGGCAACCGGTTGCCAAGGGCCACGAGATCCTCGCGCCGCTCCTGCACGCGCCGCCTCGTCGTGGGTGGCTACCGTGACGTCCTAATCCTGCCGCGAGTCCCTAGGGGCGAGATCGATACACACCGTGATCCGTTTCCCTTTCCCTTTCCCTCCCCCTCCCCCTCCCCC